GAGTTCTACATGTAAGAGGCTCTGCAGTGAGAGTGTGTGTGTGTGTGTGTATTTGTCTGTGTGTGTATTTGTCTGTGTGTGTATTTGTCTGTGTGTATCTGCATTATTTACTTAAGTACAAGTTGATGTTTTATCAGAATATGTATATCTCTGTTTCTGCAATGTCATGTGAATGAAGGAAAAAAAATGATGAAAATTTTAAATGGTTAAATTACTGAAATAAAATTAATGATGCTTGGGTTAAGTAGTGCTCAGCTACAAAAGGATTACAGGATTACAGCCTCGGGATTCTGTCTTTAGCAGGTGACCCTAAATGATGCTGTGGTAAATTATAGGTCCAGCTTGGTCTGATTATGCCGTAAATGTCCTGCAGTGTATAACTGCTGGAGGCCTTGAGGTTTTTAAGGTAGTTCAGACATTATACAGCAAATATGGGAGATGCTGTCACTGGGGCTCCTGAGTTTGCTGGTGTCTTAAGGCTCTTGTCATTTAGGAGGTGAGATGCTTCCTCACCCAGTGAGTAAAATAAGTCGATGGCTGGCACTTCTCCTCAGGAGGAAGGGTGACCCCAAGCGGGCAGAGAGCTTTCTGCAGGACTCTGTGAAGAGCTACCTGAGTGAGGGCTGGGCCCTGCCTGTGGCTCACACCCGCAAGCAGATGGCAGAGTGTCAGAAGCTGCTGGGCCAGACTGAGGAGTATCCTGCCATCACAGCTGTGTCCCTGTTAGAGTAATCACCCCCTCCTCCCACCCCCTGAAAAGGTGTGCTACAGCCCACCCCCCCATCAGGTGTTGGCTCTGTCTGTCTGTCTCTATGTCTGTCTGCTGGCTCCGCTTGGTTTCTTTGACCTCTTGCACAGCTACCTGCAGACCAGCGCTCTGCTGGCCAGCGACACCCACCTGAGCGACAGCGAGAGGAAGCACTTCTGCCAGGAGATCCTCAGCTTCGCCGGCCAGTCAGCTGGTAGGGGTGGCCGTGTGTGTATACCCGCGGGAGTGGGGCCTCGTGGGGGCAGGGCAAAACCAATCCGAACACTGTGTTTCCCCCCCTCCCCACAGGCCACAAGGTAATCCTGAACATGAGCTCGTTTGCACAGTTACGGCAGCTGCAGTTCCGGCCAGCGGCAGCTGTGGTGCACGTCGGTGCCTCCCTGCAGCTTGAGCTGCGTCTGCGCAGCCTGATGCCTGTACCGGTTCAACTGGAGCAGCTGGCCATCACTGTGCACTTCAGTCTGGAGAAGGGTGGGACTTGGGGCCGGGCAGGGCCTGGGGGCGGTGCCCCCCGACGCACGGGGCAGGGCAGCCCGGGCGGTGCAGTGCAGTTCCCTGGAGAGAGCCCCCCTGGCTCCCACCCCCGAACAACGCCTCCCACTCTCGAGCTGTATGAGATGCAGGACCGCAGCCCTTCGGACGGGGCACTCAACTCCACCGGTGTCATTTGCAAGAACGTTCACCTGCTGCTGCGTCGCCAGGACAGCGCCGTCTCCTTGGACACGCCCAGTGTGAACACCATTTCCATGGAAGACGGGGCCCAGCTGCTGAAGACGCATGACGTGTCACTGTTGCCTGGCAACAACGACATCCTCTTCACAGCTCCCGTAAGCCTGCTGCCATGTTAGTGTATAGCGATCATTAGTATTATATTATTATTATTATATTTTGATGTAGTGGATTTTTCAAATCTGTTGGTTCGAAACCATCAGACAGTGGCACTTCCTATTACATGACAGTGTAGGGCGGTGTTTCCCAACAAGGGTGCGTTTCACAAAAGCATAGTTATTGTTAGTAACTTACATAGCTGGAATCATGCAACTGAATGGGTTACCAATAGGAGCTCTTGGGAAATGCACTTCTGGTCTTGATGGACCCCCAGACAGTCCACATTTTTGCTTCCTGCCAGACAGTCCACATTTTTGCTTCCTGCCAGACAGTCCACATTTTTGCTTCCTGCCAGACAGTCCACATTTTTGCTTCCTGCCAGACAGTCCACATTTTTGCTTCCTGCCAGACAGTCCACATTTTTGCTTCCTGCCAGACAGTATGCATTTTTAGGGAGCTGTGAGGGAGTGAAAACATGGACTGTCTGGGGGTCCCTTTAGGATAACAGCAGTGCAAATGGGTGAAGTATATAAGAACCAGAAGACAGAAGTAAAACTCTACAGTTTTCATAGGCGACCATATAGTCACTGGCTGAGCAGGCAAACCAGAGGAGTGAGTGTTTATGAATCTTGCTGAATTCTCTTATTGTTGCTATTGGTAATGCTCTCAATGTAGCCTTATACACTGTCTCCCCCCCACACAGAGTCAGGAGCCAGGCACCTATACTCTGAGGCAGCTCTGTGCCACGGTGGGTTGGGTCCAGTTTGTGCTGCCCCACATCTACCCCATAGTGCAGTATGAGGTGTATTCCCAAGAGCCGCAGCTCACCGTGGAGCCCCTAGCAGGTCTGTCTCTCTCTTTGCGTCTCTGTTCCTCTCCCAGGAGGTTCTGCTAAGACAGACTCACCCGGCACACTCTCGCCGGCTCGAGGCACTATGCTGGAGTCAGCCCTCTGTGTCCCTCTGTGTCCTAGACAACCTTGTGGCCGGCCTGCCCCAGACGGTGAAGTTCACCGTCGTCACAGGTCACTACAGCATCAAGCGGGGCGATGCACTGCAACTCAGCAACTCGGACAGTATGCCCATTCTGCCGGCACCACGCTGCACCGCTCGCGTGCTCTCCAGTGCCGCCGGTCAGTTCCGTCCGGCTCGCCGGGGTACTTCCGCTCCTGCCTGCCACTTTCCACAACCTGTATGACCTGCCCCCCTGCCCTTCCCCTCTACAGAGCTTGTAACGGAGACGGTCCTCTCCATCCAGTCCTCGGAGAAGGTAACCAGCATCTCGCTGCCTCTGACACCACCCTACCACACCGTGGAGTTCCAGCTGGTGGTGCTGTGCCACGTTCCAGCCGGCCCGGTGCGGCCCGACCCTGAGCGGCTGACCAATGGGGAGCCATGGCATCGGCCCCGCAGCCGCCTGCGCACCCACAGCGGCATGATCGCCTTGGACCAGAAGGTGCTGAACCTGATGCCCCTTTTCCATCTGTCTCTGGGCTGGCTAATATATGCATACCCACTTGTAAAATAGGCAGATGTTTGGAATGAATTTAGCAGGCAAAGCTGAGTGAAACTCTCCTGATTGGTTTGGCCTGGCTGTCTCTTATGGCATCCTAATGCCTTCACTGGTTGGGCTCCTTGAGGAGAAGCTGCCTGATTGGTGGTGTGCATGTCTTAACTGTGTGACACTCCTTCTTCCCACAGATCTCCATAGACTGCCCATGGTCTATTTACTCCACACTGGTAGCGTTAACTTTTTACATCCCCTTCAAAGCCAAGCACTCGCTACTGTCTGCAGGGAAGAGGTAAAGCCTCAAGTAATTAATATTCTTAAAATGAAAAATATTTTTAAATACTTTGATCCACTAGCCTCCCACCTGCTGATCTGACCCTCGATTCAAACCCACAGGAAGTACGTGCAGGTGTGCCTGCAGAATGTCTCAGATATGAACTTCCAGCTGGCAGAGCAGAACCTGATGCTGCAGCAGGAGCTGCCCATGCTCAGGCTGCGCTCCCTCAACGGCCAAACGAAGCAGGTGAGTGCAGGCCTGCTCGACGCGCCTTGGTGCACCTTCCTCTGACTGGCACACAAGTATCATTGCTCCAGCTGGCCAGATGCTCACCACTGTTCTGTTTGCTGGTCTTCTCCTGTCCTCTTCTGGGCTTCCTGTTATAATGCTCTTGTCCAGTAGGTGCACAACATAGCCAGTTCTATATCCAGTTAGGGGGGCTTCAGCCTCTCTGGAAAATTATTTGTAGTTTTCTTGAATAGAATAATTACTTTCGTCTATTTTAAAATGGTTAAATTTCTGAATGAAAATGATTAAAATGAATGACACTTGAGTATTTATTAGTGTATATAACTACTAAGTAGGTAAACTGTATAACCCACCTCCCCGGTATCCCATATTTCCTCAGATTGAAAGTGGCTGAGCCCTCATAATGGTCCAGTCTTATGATTGGTACAGAACCAGCAGCCAGCCCCCCCGGTGCTGGTGCTGTGCACATAGGCACAGGACAGGGTGTCTGCGGGGTTTTAAAACGTCTTAAAATGTCTTCAGTCATTTCAACCAGTTATGGCCTTAAAGTCTTATAAAGACTTAAATTTAAGTTTACTAGGTCTTAATGTTTTGCAGGTCATAAACATTCATTGTAGTCCCCTTTAATAAGTGACTTAAAAAAAACAGTACTTATGATGAAGGGTGAGTACAGGACTTCAGGTATTTCTAGAGAGAGACTACATGCACCCATTCACATTCACCTGACTTTTATTATTGTATTAGTATAAATGTTCTATTGTTGTCAATCTCTTAGAAAACAGAAACAGTATATATAGGGTTTGGCGCTCTCTGTGGTTTCCTGTGGATAAGGGGGAACACTTTGTCTGATGTTAAAAAAATCTTTCATTTAAGTTTAAATGTGACTGACTCTTAAGGATTATACTACCAAGTCAATCGCAGACTACTAATGTCCACAGGCAGAGATGCACACCGATCATTTTTGCGTTTCAAGCAATTTTGCTATGTGTGCTAAAACTTGTTAGTATCTATGAAAAGAGGTGATCTTTATCTGTAACAAGGTGTTGATAGAGACCCTTGCATACCCCTTGGTTTTCCAGATTACTTTACAGACAAATTTTAATATTAGAATGTTCACACGTGCACTTCATGTTCAATAGCTGTTGTTCGCTTACAGTCGCTGGTGGTGAAAGGAGCAATTATTATGCACAAGCACCCGAAGGGAAAACACCACCAGAGTAGACAAAACCATTTGAAGTGCTGTCCATTCATGTTTAGTACTGAGAGCTTTTTATTATCTTTTGTCCTTGTAGCTGCTAAATAACTTTTAGGCTGTAATAATAAGCGTTTCTGCCTGCTGCATAAGAATCTCCATCGAATAAGTGTTTGTGAAAATGTTTAGGCTAAAATCTGGGCTTATTCTGCATTGATCGACAGCGCCAGTGTTTGTGTTTGTGGACGTTGGACTAGTTTGGACCAGTGTCTTTATCGTAAACTAAAATGAAAATGTACACTGAATAAAAGAAAATAATTTGTGAACTCAAATAAAATTGAAAACCATATTTCCAAAAATGTCGGACTTTAATCTGCAAAAAGTACCACCACACCACCAACATCTTTTTACCTTGATTAACCACAACATCTCCTTTTTTTAATAGATGATGTAGCTGCGACTTCAGTGCTTATTGCTTGTGTTGCACGTGCCGTGCTCCGCTAACCAAATTTTTTGAGCATGAGGATGCACCCAATTTTTATAGGTTACTAACTTTTGGACATCACAATTCGCATCTCATTAATATTTTTAGACGTACTGCTAATCTGCTTATCAAATTGTGGGTGAAAATAATTTCATACATTATCTCAAGCCCTGCAATGGCATACAGTTTGTTGTTGGCAAAATTAAATTAGCATAATGAAACAGTCAAGTTGATTTTCTGGTGGAAAATTAATCATTTTGATTAATCGAGCAATTGATAAAATGGTCAATAGATTAATCTATAGAAAAATAGTTAGTGGCAGCCCTAGAATGAACAGTGGGTGTAATCACTGTAGTGTAAATGTATGGGTATTGATTTTAGTAAAGCATATTTCCACTTAGTTTGGTCTTAAATTTGGCTTGAAGTGGCATTTAAAAAGTCTTAAATTTAACATCAGGATCAGGATTTAACATCAGGAACAGGATTTAACATCAGGATCAGGATTTAACATCAGGATCAGGATTTAACATCAGGATCAGACACTCTGCAAGAGTGATGCCTATTCTGTGTGTGTGTGATGCTGAGCCCCTCCCCATCTGCAGCGGGTGTACAGCAGGCAGTCTGTCTTCTACCTGTGGGAGATGATGTGGAACACAGAGCCGCTGCCCAGCCTCCAGTGCCTGTTCTCCATCAGCTTCTGCCCAGCAGACGCCCAAAGCTTACACTTCACTCCGTATCACTATGAGTTCCAGCTGGACAGCTTGTCTGTGAGTCTCACTCCCAAATGATATATATATATATTCACATCTCCAGATCACTTCAGATGAGAGATTCTTCATACTTTTACCTGCCATAGCCTGTTTTGTCAGTTTTCTGCCTTATCCTGGTATTAAGGGCATGTATGCTTTAACTAATTAGCAACAAAGAACCATTTGTTACATTTCTACTCTACCTTTTCTTACAAAACAACAGCAGTATTCAGGAAGTTAGAATGTAATAAGCCTTCGGTGGCGTGTGCTGTATACGGAAATGGTAGAACTCAAAGAACCCGTTGTTTAATGTTAGTACTTGCATTATGTGCGTGATGGCTGTTGTGACAGAGTAGAGAAAAGGTTAGATTTACATGGGGTCTGATTACCTGCCTTTCAGATTTCCCTTGATCCTGTGTGACTTGCCTGTACTCCTGTCCCTTTCTCACAGACTCTGTATAGTGTGTCGGCGGATATTCAGCCAGCCTCTGGAGAGTCTCACTGCAAGACCGGCTCCCTCTGTGGGCTGGAAGTGTCCATCACGCGACTGTCAGAGCTCTCTGAAGCTGAGAAGCAGGATGAGGGATCTGTAGAGAGTGGCGGTCTCAGCACCACCAAGCTCATGTATGAAGGTAATGGCAACAGCTGCGAGCAGCATTGTGTGTGTGTGTGTGTGTGTGTGTGTTATGTTTTCAATTGTGTGCTAACCATGCCTCCCTCTGTGGACACTTCCCCAGTGGTGGATAATAGCAGTAACTGGGCTGTCTGCGGGAAGAGCTCTGGCATCGTCTCTATGCCCATAGCAGCCCGGGCCACACACAAAGTGCGCATGGAAGTGATGCCCCTGTTCGCGGGCAATCTACCCTTTCCCAGCATCAAGGTGTCCAAATATTTGCCTCATAACGCCTTGCCCGCTATCCAGCCCGATACAGGTATGACTTTCACCTAAAAAAAATTAGTTGTACAATTAAATATGTAACCAAATAAGCAATGTGCCATTAAACCCCCTTTCAAGGCCATTAATACAGTATATGAACTCTATAACCGTTAAGCTGGACTGTAGAACTGTAGGCTAAATAACAGCGTGAAAGCAGCCCAGTAGGGGCCCACGGAACTGGCACCGTTCAGGCTGCCCGTGGATCCCTGGACCTGCGCTGTACTTCAGCCATTCTCCATTTCTTCTTCCCCCCTCCCCTGCCTACCCCATCCATGCCTGCAGATGGATGTCTTGAGAATGACAATATCTCCCTGCTGGACAAAGGTCTGACGGACGACCAGGCAGACACCAGTAGCATCCGCAGCCGTGGCAGCGTGGTCTCCCTGGGCAGCGGGGAGCAGCAGCGTGGCCTCCCCATGCCTCGCCTGGAGCCCTTCGGCCCCGGGCAGGTCTTCAATTGTAGCCAGGGCTGCCAGGTGCTCGTGCTGCCCAGCAAGGACGACCACGTGCTGGAGGTCAATGTTACATGATGCTCCCAATGTCACCTGCCCGCCCACCTACCCGCTCGGCCCTCTGGGATGGCTGCTTTGGCTTTGGGTGGGTGGACCTCTTCTCCGGACTCGCAGGACGGGCTCCGGATGTTTGCCCAGCCATGGTGCAATGCAGACATCAATGAAGCCTGAAGTATCATCTGCTTTTTTTTCTCTCTTTTCTTTTTGTTCTTCCCCTCCTTTTTGTCATTGCTTTTCCCGCTGTGGAAGCTCAGTGCTCGGAGCCCATTGGTTCCCTCTTCTCTACTGTACAAGGTGACAGTTGGAATGTCCTGCCCTGCCTTCTGCCGGTCCTCGGTGGCTCCCTTTCCCCCGGTTGTGCAGACGCCTCCGAGTCTCACGGGGCACTGTGACTATGCCAGGCGGCTGCCCCTGTGACCTCTGACCTTTGTAAGCGGCAAGGAGGCCATTGTAGTACAGCTAAGCTCCCTCTTTGTGTCATGCTTGTGCACAAGGAATGAGTGTGACCTCACGTCGGTGCTGCACATGCACATTGGTGACAGAGGATCGTGGCCAGACTGGCAGCGCTGCAGCGATTCCTCAGCTCTCATGGCAANCCCCCCCCCCCAATCAGTCTTCATGACCCCCCAGCCCACCCCTGCTGCTGTACATACTTTTTATACATATATAAATAAATATATATAAATAGATATTATTTAAAGTTGAACAAATTGCTGTACTGTGGAACCGTAGGTTGCAAGTTTGCACCAAAGGACAGCTATGAGGATGTGAGAGATGGGTGATGGTAAATGAAGTCTGTTGGAGGGATTTTGGGGGGTGTAATGTCACTTTGTGGACTTTCTGTTTTCCAGCCTTTTTATTTGACTGGTTTCTTTGCATTTTCGTTGTGTATGGGTGCATTCTTTGCCTTATTGCTCATCATATCTGTAGTAAAAGGGTGATTTTTTTTTTCCCTCCATTTTTAATCAAATTTGCCCAATATTGGCTGTGACAATGACGCGTCTGTGAAGCGTGTGACTTCAGTTCTGTCATTCTGAAATACACTGTGCCGTAGCGCTCTGTTGTCTTCACCCTCGTAATCCTGTTGCTGCTGTCATCTGTCGGCTATTATGGACCCTGTGCACGTGTGACATACTGGAATAGCTGAGGGCCCAATGTGCCCGTCCATCTCATTGATGTAATATGTTCCTGTATTCTGTGTCTGTGTGATCACCAGATGCTACTACCTTTGTTTGATTCTAAGGATGATGTCGCCCAGCTGTTGCGTGTGAGTGGGTGGGCGTATGCATGTTTTGGCATCATGCTGTGGGGAATGCTGGGAAAATCCATGATATGACAAACTGGACGTTACTAAAGACCATAGAGTCCAAAATAGTTTTTCCTCCCTCCAGTTCATCATACATGTAAACAGACAAAAAAATCACCAGCGTTCTTTAAAATTTCTATTGCAGGAGCTTCACTAAATTGTCCGTGCTTCTCTTTGTGCAGATGGATCTTGTGGTGATTGTCAAGCTCTAGTATTTATGTAAAATTGATCTGAAATTGGACACTGCAAAGAAAAACAGAAGAGCTATGAAAACAAGTGCTCTCACTTATGCTGTCAGTCTCAATTATCCACATTTTTTTCATTTTCTTTTTTGTTTTGAGCATTTTTTGTAAATACTTTAACTGGAAATTAAGTTTAATGGGAGGGGCTGGGGGGCGGGGGGGTTCACACCTGAGTAATAAAAGCCGGCTGGTATTTTCATGTCTACTGTGGGGAAAGCAGAGAGACAAGAAAAACAAACCATATTTTCACATTGTTTTTGTAAATTTAGTCCATTAGATTACAGAACCTGAGATTGTATTCAGATTGTTTAATTATTTAAATTTAAAAAAATGTAAGCATTATACAGTTTAAAATATACCTATGTTTTAAAAATTCAGCGTGCGTGTCATTTGTTCTTATAAAGTTGGAGGGAGGGGGTTGCAGAGGGATTGTCTGAGATTTTCCTAATCCTAGGGGCAGGGGCGCCGCTAGCAATTTTGGGCCCTATGACAAAATATGAGGTTGGGCCCCCCTACGGTAACTTATTATTAATAAAGCAGATCTCTGGGGGGCCCTAAAGGGCGTGGGCCCTTAGAATTGTCCCAACTTTCCCCCCCTTAGCGGCGCCCCTGCCTAGGGGGTACCTCCGTTCCTCTAGGAGTAATGAGTGCACTCTTGTTTTCTGTAACTGGGGCGTTACTTCAGATAAACTAATGATTTGGGTCCGAGGGTAGTCAAGCAGGATGCTCTTCCTTCCGCTAGGGGGCTCATCGGTTTTTCATCACAGTATCAGTATTCCGTAACCCGGATGTACACGGTATCCAGCATGTTCTCCTACCCACGTGTGTAGTTACGTTTTCTGATGCGGAGCGTCATGTAGACTTCTACTGCCGACTTTTAATGGATTATGTTTAGTTAGATTTGTTATATTTAGAGTCCATTATGAAATTTGCGTACAAAGTAAGTTTCTGGTATCCTATCGCTTTTGCTAAGATATTTTATTAACCATATGTGTTATAGTCGGGAGTGTGTTTTTACTTTATTATAGTTAATGTATCTGAAAATTATTTGCGGTATTTCGCTTCACTGGGACGTGTGTAACCGATTCTTGGTTTTCTAGTTTTCCAATTTGCTTGGCGCTGTTTATCGCCGCGGAAACCTGAATTTCTCCAAGGATGGAAACACCGTGATAAGCCCCGTAGGCAATCGCGTTTCTGTTTTCGACCTTAAAAAGTGAGTTTACATCAAAATGTTCATGTCTTTTAACATAATCTTTATATTATACTTAATGAATGGATTCCGTCCAATCGTGAACGTTTTCAGTGATGCTGTTTAAAAGTGCTTCGGTTAAGTGCTTTAATCTTCAAAAAAGATCCTGAGTTTTGTCCTGTGCACATGATGCTCGTTACTCAAATGGCAGTGCTGCACCATCCTGATCGCCCTGTTTGTCCGATTGTAACCATCCAGTAACAAATCCGAGACGCTGCCTTTTTCCACCTCCAAGAACATAACCTGCGTTGGTGTCTCCCCGGATGGAAACCTAGCCATACTGGTAGATGAAGGTACGGCTATAGCGCCCGTTCCCTCTCTTCTTGTTGAGGAACTCCCGATAATGTGTGAGAGAGTTTAGTGTCAAACTATCAGCATGGTCATACTATGAAGAAATATCGTTCCTATTGTAATAAATACAATAGAAATACGACAGGCGGTGCTGTATACCACCTGCTGATGTTGCTGTTATTGCTGCTTGCCGCCTGCATTTGACGCAGCTACGACGGACATATTTTTCAGACGGAGCCGCCCTGCTCATAAGCCTGGTAAGCCGAGCGGTGCTACATCATTTTCATTTCCACAAGCCTGTGCACAGCGTGAGCTTCTCTCCGGACGGCAGGTACGTTTCTTTCCTCTCTTCATTTGCATTAATTTATTCAACAGACGCTTTGTTCAAAGCAAACGTACTAGTGAGGCAGAGGCAAAATGCTTGTAAGACTGCCTCGGAGCCAGCTTAGCTACAGGTGATGCTAGGCTAAGCTTCCAACGAGTGACCAGGAACAAGTGCAAGATAGCCGTGGGAACTAAGTCTAGGGTCAAAATATAAATTCACGGTATCCAGTATTGCTAAGTGATGTCATTTTCAAGAAAGACAGTGAGCTAGTGTGGGTCACTGATAGGATGAGGTTAGCTGAGGTGTCCCAGGAAGTGATGTCTTACAACAAGTTGTGAAGGTCTTGATGGCACTCTTCAGATGTAGTTGGGTAGCTCATCATTGAGGGACCACATATGGAAAAAAATAAATAGTACGTGATTTGTTTTCAGCCGCTGGAAGACAGGCAACAGGATGGAGCCTGGGGCACCTGCTAAATCACCTTTCTTATCTTGCTGTGCAGGGTCTTCGTACCTATGTCCTTATTTAGGAGTTTCTTTGCTCTTTAGTAGGGAAGTTTGATTTGACTGTATTGGTGTGTGTGGAGCTTGCATGTTCTTCTCTTGAGTGTCTGTGTCTGCATCTGCATCCTACAATGGACTGACGTCCCATGCAGGCTGTTCTCCCGCAGTAGTCTTCAGGTTCACCGTGGTCCTGCACTGGATAGGCAGTAATGGAGGATGGATAATTGTATGTATTTGGAGGAAATTCTGGAGTATGACGTTAATCCCCCTTGCTTCTCTCTGTACAGGAAATTCGTGGTCACAAAAGAAAATGTGGCCCTTATGTACCACGCCCCTGGGAAGACGAGGGAGTTCAATGCCTTCATGCTGGACAAGAGCTACTACGGCCCCTACGACGAAACCACATGCATTGATTGGACTGACGATTCCAAGTGAGTGACTTGTGGATGTTTCTGTGACATTTTGGCTGTCACGTCTTTCATTACTCCACAGGCAGTCAGCAAGATCACTGCAATATACTGTACAATACAATACAAGATAAGACAAGTAATTTCTGATGTGTTCAGGTTAGGGATCGACCGATATTGGTTTTTCAGGGCCGATGTCAATACTGATTATTGCTAGCTAATGATTACTGATAGCCGATATTTGGAACCGATATATATTTACAGTAAAAATGAAAATCTCTGAAAACTCCAACACAAAATATTGCCTTTATTACTTATTTTCTGTGTGGTTTCATACAACTCATGATGATGAGTCCTCAGATGGGACCACAGGTTGGTGGTCCCCGTATTTATGTTTTTTGCCACAGTTCCTCCCATACTTATGCTTGCATTGCATGTATTGCAGATAGCCTTCCCTGGTGTCGTAGAACGAGTAAAATAGTTCCAAACAGCGCTTATTATTCATTATACAAACAAAAAGTGTATACTTTTTAGATTCTTAAGTATTCATAAGAGTTGCTTTAAATAAAGCATCTAATAAAAACTATGTCTGAGCTGGAAAAATCTAATTAAAAGATTTTAAATTATAAGGTTTAATAACCATTAATTCATTTTGCTTTACATAATAGACAATGAGTAAATGTTGATTGGTAAACAGTGCTTCAAATTCTGCAATGTGCAGACATTATTTCATTTGTCTAGTCATTTATATTGACGTTAATACTAGCACCACCTCGTATGGAGGAGTAATGTACGTACTGCACGGGTTTAGGTGCTTCCAGCTTTATCATAATATGATTTGCTAACACTTTTTGTACTCATAAGTTTTTTTTATATTCAGCTATGAACCGCTTCATCTTTGAACGTGACTGTTTCAAGGTGTTTCGTGTGTATACAGCTGACTAATAAGGGCGATTTTTTTTTGCGTGTTGGTGAAAGTAGGGGTGGACAAGTATTTTGAAAATTTTCATAAGCCCTGGTAATTCTATTGTTACCACTTGGTTATTACAGGTACTAACAATGCATGCACATCCCAGTGCATGCTCACATTATCACTGCAACAAGGTCCGTTATTCCAACATTTCAGCGCTATATCCGGGAAACCGGGAAGGCTTTTCGTTATGGAAACAGCTCACAAGAGCTACGTGGTGTTTTCAGTGTGGAGGATTGTATTGCTTTCACTTGGGAAACATAAGATACTTTACCTTCCGTCCTCAGTAAGGTCTCACGCTCAGCTGTTCTCATCTTCTCTTTGATGCTTCACGCTGTGCTTGAGTGACGTGTATGAGTGATAGCGAGGTTTCAGTGGTGATTGGCTATTAATCGTATGTCATCTAGCCAATCAGAGATTGTTATGGGCGGGTAGAGCTGGGCAATATGGCCTAAAAATAAAATCTCCGATTTTTTTCACAATACATCCGATTTTCGATTTTAATCGATTTTTCCATCCCCTACTCAAAATCAAACTACAGATGACAAATAAATGGTTCAAAACAAGTCAACTTTTTTTTTTTTTTTTACTTTAGAGGTAAAGTGCAATTTGACAAGCCAAAAAAGATGCTTGTGAGATGGCAGACCACGCCATTGTAAACACTTTTTGAAACTTGCTGTGCTGGAATAAATTGGTTGTGCTGCTTCCTTTGGTTGCAACAGTTTTTAAACAGACTTTGCAACGAGGACTTGTTTGGTCTGTGTCCTACGGTGCAGAACCGAACCATTGCCATGTTGTTTGTGAATCCGCTACAGTGTTTGGGTGCGCCGCGCTAATTTACCCATGAACAACGGTGCGTCGCATTAGTTCCGCTTTTGGCGCTCGTGTGTAAAATAAGTAATAAAATCGATTTTCATAAAACCACATTGTCCTGAACTGTAAATTCGAATTAATCGATAAAATCGATTTATCGTCCTCCTCTATGGGCGGGATTTTAAATGAAGCAGCGCGGTTCCTCAGGCACAGAGGAAGAGATGGTAGCGGAGCCGCATTAGCGCACTTTGTAATAATATCGGTTATCTGTAAAATAAAACGCAGATATCAATAATCGGCAAATTCCTGATATCGGTCGATTCCTAGTACAGGTACTCCTCACCTACTTGTTTAGCGACCGCCCAAACTTACGACCAGTCGGTATTGTACGCTGTATGAGAACTTTGGCCCTGTTGACGTCAGCGCGGTGTCTCACTGTCAAGCATCTCATTTCGCATCACCCTTTCTCAGTCTGAGTCTTGTTGCCGCAATCGCTCAGTTTTCACAACGCTAGTGTTTGCAGTCTCCAAGACTACATATTACATCTTTAAATTTGTACGTTATTGTGTACCCCATAGTACATGTCAGCAAAAAGGATTATAATAAAAACGATTACCTGTATTTACATTAATTATCATCCTTTTAGTGTATTTGACAGTATTTGACCATTAACGACATGGTAATGACGTAGGACAGTTAGTTTTAGATTTCTGGGAGTGATAGTGTAGGTGGAGCTTCCTAAATGGCCTCTCTAAACCCGTGAAAGGTGCATCTGTAACACTGACCTCCTGCTTGCCACAGGTGCTTTGTGGTTGGCAGCAAGGACATGACGACCTGGGTGTTCGGAACCAAGCGCTGGGCCAACCTTGTGTACTACTGCCTGGGTGGACACAAGAATGCCATTGTGGGCTGCTTCTTTGAGCAGGACAGCTTGGATGTGAGTGTCCACCAGGGGGAGCTGTCACTTTGTTTTCTTTTTTTAATTCGCTTGTCAGTTCCGTATAAGTTTCTGATACTCAATAATGTTTGTATCACTTAATGTATTTTATAGATAAATGCATTATAATAATCAACTAGGATTTTATTTGTGCGAAAGTGTGTTTATCTATTAACTGTTTGACAGTGCTGTAGGAGATTGTGCTCATTTACAGATGGACAAATGTTCCTTTGTGTCCCTGTAGCTGTACACAGTGAGTCAGGATGGGGCACTGTGTGTTTGGGAGTGTGACACCGAGCTGGATGGCTTGCTGCCTGAGAAGCCCAGAGAGGCTCCGCTACAGGAAACGGGTGAGGAAGAGGAGGAGGAGGAGGAAGGGGCTGAAGGACAGCCTCGCGCTGAGGTCATCCGTGGGAAATCTGATGGGAACAGGCAACAGCAAGGCAGCAGGAACGTCTGCTATAAGCGCCTTGGCAAGTAGGTGACATTCCTGCCTGGATTCTCTCCTTTATTTCCCCACCTGGGGGCCAGGACTCATGCAGAAGGCTTCCAGAGTGTACTGTAGTACTAATCGTCGTTTTCTCTAGCTGACAGCTATATGAACCTTTTGCGCAGGTAGTACAACAAGATTGCATATCATCACAATCACAGGAATGTTAAGTGTATTTTTTATAGAACAATCAATTATTTTCCACGTGCCCTTATGGTCCATGCAAGGGTAAATGTATTTTTGTCAACACTTGTGTCCGTGTGAGCTGTGTGTGTGCAGCCCACATTTTGGTGTCATGCGGACATTTTGCACAACTGTATATTTGCATGGAAATTGACTAGGTGTTTCCAGTAGGTGTGTATAAACTAGGCTTGTGAAGAGTGTATAAACTAGGCTTGTGAAGAGTGTATAAACTAGGCTTGTGGAATACAGTTGAACTTCATTTCCTGGGCACTTTGCGTCCTTTAGGTACTTCTTTAACAAGGAGGGTGATTTCAATGACTTGACAGCCGCCGCATTCCACAAGAAGACACACCTACTGGTGACTGGCTTTGCTTCTGGAATCTTCCACCTGCATGAGCTCCCAGAATTCAACCTGATCCACTCACTCAGGTTAGACCCCCCCTTCTTTCAAAACCAGGGGCCAACTACTGTCTACCATGGGATTTGAGCTGGTGACCTTCTGGTTTGCAGACTCTAAGCCACACATGGGGGATTGTAGCCTAGGTATGGATGCTGCCTTAGGATGAACTGGCAGTGCAGGTTTCCTGTCATATTCCTCTGTGTGTTTCAGCATTTCAGACCAGAGGATCTCCTCCATTGCCATCAACTGCACAGGAGACTGGATAGGTTTTGGCTGTTCAGGTAAGGCCAAGAATGGGAGGAGCCAGAGACTCAACACACATAATCCCAGGTGTATTGAACGTGCAAGTTTCTGGTTTGCTCTGACTCATAGGACACACATGGCAAGGTCACCTGGTAACTGTGGGCTGCTGTGAGCATGCTTGTGTGTGTGTCATTTTTGCTAGGCATGGGCCAGCTACTAGTGTGGGAGTGGCAAAGTGAGTCCTATGTGTTCAAGCAGCAGGGACATTTCAACAACATGGCGGCCCTGGCCTACTCCCCAGATGGGCAGTATATCGCCACGGGAGGGGATGATGGGAAGGTAAGAAAGTCCCCCCCCCACCCCCGTCTTGAACAAGTCACAATTGTATCTTGTGTGCTGCAGTTTTCAATCAGAGGTTGACAGGCATATGTAATTAGTACAGTGTGTGGAGGGTGATGGGTATGGAGGGTGATGGGTGCGGCGTTTTACAGGTGGAGGGTGATGGGTATGGAGGGTGATTGGTGCGGCGTGTTACAGGTGAAGGTGTGGAGGGTGATGGGTATGGAGGATGATTGGTCCGGCGTGTTACAGGTGGAGGGTGATGGGTATGGAGGATGATTGGTCCGGCGTGTTACAGGTGAAGGTGTGGAACACCACCAGCGGCCTCTGCTTCGTCACGTTCCTGGAGCACACGAGCAGCGTCACCAGTGTCACCTTCAGCCCACGTGGGTTCGTCATCGTTAGCGCCTCCCTAGACGGCTCGGTGAGAGCATTCGACCTGCACAGGTGAGCTTCCTTTCGTACATGCAGCCGCTGACATGGTCGGGGGCGGGGCTGGGTTCTGATGGGCCGTGCCTCCACAGGTACCGTAACTTCCGCACCTTCACATCACCACGGCCAGCCCAGTTCTCCTGCCTGGCTGTGGACTGCAGCGGCGAGCTGATCACCGCTGGGGCCCAGGATTCCTTTGACATCTTCATCTGGTCTATGCAGACGGGCCGATTGCTCGAGGTGGGTCTGCCTTCCGAATCAGGATTCCAGTGTTAACGTCGGTAAGCCAGTTTGTTTGATCAGAGTTTGAATCAGTAGCCAGCTCACTTTCCCTAGAGGTAAGCAAGACCTACGCATGCATGTTTTGTGCAGTGATTTGAGTCACTTATCTCAAAACAAAAGGTCCTTGGAAAGGAGGCAGTAACATAGTTAAAGCAACCAAAGGTTTTGTGTGAGTTTTCATCCTTAAAAGGTCAGCCAGCTAGCTGTGATAATGTTGCGTGTCTAAAGAGTTGAAGAAAAAAACAGGGAAAATTTCTGGGTTTTGTTAATCAACCATTTGGAACACCAAAGAACATGTTAGATTAACTTAACATAAAATAACTGCATAAAATCAATAAAAAAACTAAAAAAAACTGTACCACAGTGTTAATTTTGACAGTGTATTTTGATTCAGTTTTTGTCTGTCTTTTGACAAAAATGCCATTTAATTTGCCCAGCTTCTGAAAGTTTTTTTTTCTCCATTGAATACTGACTGTTTCTGACACTGCATCATAGTTTCATCAATTTTTTTTTTTTTTTTTTTACAGGATATTTAGTCAATTAAATCTACTTTAGATTTAGTTGAGTAAATCTACAGTACAAGCAGCCAGTGAAACTAACAGGTTTAGTCATAGTCTAATGCATTATTTTCACCTTTCTTTAAAAATTTCACTTAATCAATGTGCACACACACAGATTGGTCTACCTCAATCCCCTCTGTATTCCTCAAGGAAACGTCTGTAAAGCTGCTGTTACGGCATCAGGTTTGAACATGCGGTCTTTAAGGACACAGATTGTCGTAAAGGTTGTAATACAAAACTTTACACAAATTCAAAATTGGCTGCATATGGATTTATTTATCATTAAATTAAATATAAATGAATCCAGAATTTAGTCGTAAACAAAATACTTGCATGTGAGACATCTACATTCAACACCAGTGCATAGAACGTGAATAAAAATACCTCAACTGTCCTCTCCCAAAAAGAAATGGTTCAACTAGTGAACCGACTGGGTTGTGCTTATTCCTACACCTAGTTCAGTTCATGACACTGAACTTTTCAAACATATTAAGAGAAAAATCAACTATTTTTGTTTCTGTTGATTTCAATGGACTACAGTTTTGTGATGGTTATTCCTGTTATTACTGCTCTACATGGTTTGCGCTGAGCAGCCATGGAATGGTTACCAGGTTCATGGTAAACCACTGAAAAATTCCCGACAATTAGTGGTATCAGTTCAAATTTTAATTTAGGCAGTAATAGTGCTCTGGAGATTTTTAATGTCAATCCACAAATGTTTACATAAGATATTGGCTATGCTGTTATTTTGATGGTTAAGTACATAGTGCTGCCAAATTTGTGTTTTACAATATAAACCTTGGTGAAATTGTTTATGTATCGGTACTTTTTGAACATTTTTAGCACATTTTAACAATACCACAATAATACTGATAGCTGTGATCATTTTTGTCGCCATATCACCATATCACATTTTCAGACCATTTCATCTCCTGTCCTGATTTCTTTCACATTAAATGTAAACTTTAAATACATGGGTATGTAGCACAGACCAGGCTTGGCCAGTATGTAATATTTCATACCGTTATACCGTCCAGAGATTATACGATCCCCCGCAATAAGTCAGCCAAGCCTAACACAGATGTAATGGGTTTACAGAGACTTTAGAGACAGAACTGCATGGTTATGTGCTTGAAACCAGTTAGACCAACTGTATCCAATCATGCACAACTGCAGTCAACACTTACTGAAAATACTACTTCTGATTTGGATCAGTTTCAAATTCAACTCTTCCTGACATTTTTCTCTCGCTTTTATTTGTTGATGATAGTATCAGTACATTTCGTCATAATTTTTGGTGTCGTAAATTATTTATTTTGCTATCATTTTCAATAAAATTTTAGTCATAGTTTTCATCCACAAAATTATCACTGCTCTGCCAGATCACCAAAATGTTGCCACTCCACTGACTGGAATGTGCCCAGTTGCTCTGCAGTCTCAGGGTTATGATCCACCTAAAGCTAATGAAACTAGCCTAACTTTTACGGCAAGCGTGATCACTTGATTGGTCACGTGACACAGTTTGAAGACAATACAATAGGTGTAATGTGGAAAGTTTACAAAATATATTGTTTGTCCTAACTTTAGATAGAATAGTACTTTTGTGGTTTACCTGTGTAATTTGTTGTGTTAAGTGTGAAAAGAGATTTAGTTTTGTAACATTAGTAGAATAAATTAGGGCTCAGCAGGCTGTAAATGAGGCAGCGGGTCAGGACACAGTGGATATTGTGATTCCATCAATGAGAGCTGTGACACAAGATTGTGAACAGTTGTATCACTGTTTTGGTCTCGGTTTCAGAATGGTTATACCAGTAACAAACATTTATCATTACAGTAAATGTCAAATTGATATTCTGATGTGTACACAAACTGAAGTTTGTGCTTGTCTACAGTTTAACCACTGTGCAGTAATTGTCAAAATGGACAGTATTGTATAACATAGGCATAGCACATGTAAAAAAATACAGCTGTATTACTGTATGATACAGTGTCAGACAGTCAGTATTCAGTGGGGGGAAAAACTTTCAGAACCTGGGCAAAATAAATACCGAAACATTATACAAAAAATGTTCATCATTTCAACGTAACCGTAAAGCTCATTTGTTTTCTTGCCAACCTGTATGACTTGAGTGTGGAGTATAAAGGGCTGAGCAAATGTGAGACAAATGCAGGTCTATAACATTGCAACAGGCCTCTTGAATTGAAGGCAGATGTGATAGCTGGTGTAGTAGTGGTGTAATTCTCCACAAAATTCACAGCTCAGTAAAAACCATAGTTTTTGGTTCACGGTTTGGTGAAATTGTTCTTCATTAAAACTGCAAACAAAATTAGGAACCAAACATAAGGCAGTGTGTCTGTCTGAATAACAAAACCAAGAGATGCTTATTTGCACACTAAAAATAATGGTGTAAAATAAATAAAAATTCACATTCATAAACTACATCATAATGAGGTAAATCTCATCTACATCCTGTGGTTTATTATGGACGCATATCTGTAGCGATAATATAGCCATTGTGATGAATTTCCTAGCAAATACTTCTTAGATGCCACGGGGTGGCTGACTTGCTGAGGCTCTTTCTTCCTCGCTCTGGTCATACACACATTTGTATGATGGCATCTCAAATGCTTTAGCACGATGGGTGTGTCCCCTACAGCATATAGACTGTCAGTCTTGGTCTTATCAGCTTCTCCTTTTCCGATGTTGTAAAATGTCAATTCAAAGTTATTCCCTTGAAAGGGTGAACAGTTACAGCCCTGTGTAGCTTGCATGCTAGTTAGCCATCCTGTAGGTTTGATTTACATGCAAGTATGCAAATCAAAATACATTTACATCGTAATACTGAGATCGGGACCAATCCGGATTAGATATAAGAAGTGTGCTTAACTGGAATGTGTTGCCATAGAAAACCATAATATGAAACCAGCCCAGTTGCACACTTTGCAATACAGCAGAGTGTGCTGTTATCTGATATGTGGAGAATAGAAGTGATGTACAACTTTTTGTAATGGGTATAATGCCTTTGGTCTATAATCACAATTCTGTCCACATATACATTTTTATGCATTGTGCTTTTTCCTAAGCTAAATGTCCATAGCTAACAAAGTTCATGCCATGGTTCAAATTCCACCCCCTTCCCCATGACTGACAGGTGCTAGCGGGTCATGAGGGCCCTGTGAGCAGCTTGAGCTTCAACCCGATGCGGTCCGTGCTGGCTAGCTGCTCCTGGGACCGCACCGTCAAGCTATGGGACATGATGGATAGCTGGCAGACCAAGGAGACGCTCCGTCTCACTGCCGATGGTAAGCTCCGCTCCCAGAGCCACATTCCGTTTGTGTCCCAAATAATACTGTCACTAACTACTATTTTTCTATTGATTAGTCAATGGACTATAGTATTGATTGGTTGATTAATTGAAAGGATTAATTTTCCCCCAGAAAATCAAATTGACCGTTTCAATGAATTTTATTTTGACAACACAATCTGTATGTTATTGCAGGGCTTTAGATCAGGGGTCACCATCATGGTGCCCGTGGGCACCAGGATGCCCCCAAGGGCCACATCAGTCGCCTGTGGACCTGTTCCCCGTGTTGTTGTGGGGTTTCCTCTGGGTACTCTAATTGGAGTTACTAAATTGCCCATAGGTTCTGTCTCCTTTGTATATGTGACAAAGTGATTGTGTTGATCGACCTTGTCTCGTAAATATGCCAGAGCACTGAGGGTGACCTGAATCTGACCTCTCCTAGGCCTGGCTGTCACCTACAGGCCAGACGGCCAGGAGCTGGCGGTGGCCACACTGGACGGTGAAATCTCTTTCTGGAACCCACAAACGGCCTCTCAGACGGGCTCCATCGTGGGCCGCCATGACCTTCAAATGGGCCGGAAAGAGACTGACAAGATCACAGCCAAGCAGGCCGCCAAGGGCAAGTGAGTGACCTGCGGGTCGTCGTGATGCTTTTACTCAGTCAGATGAAGGCGCACATGCGGTGGTCTAGGCATTGGGCTGTTCACTTGTGCTTTAGATGATGATCATCTCACCAGATGCCCAGGTTACTACTGAGGCTAATAATGCTTATCCAGCCTGCTAACTATTGTGGGTAAAGGTTTCCAGGCTTTCAGGCTTTGCTCTCCCTCTGTAGGTCCTTCACCTCCTTGTGCTACTCTGCTGACGGCCAGTGTGTCCTGGCCGGTGGCCAGTCCAAGTTCGTCTGCATATACAGTATCAAAGAGCAGATCCTTGTGAAGAAGTTTGAAATCTCATGCAACCTGTCTCTAGATGCCATGGAGGTCAGTTTCCTTGATGATCTTGATGTTTGCTGGGTATTAAAGATGAGTGGTTGGGCCATGGACCAAAATAGCACAGGTTGTAGTCCTTGGACAGGGTTTTTTATGGGAGTAGAACTTAACTGGCAATGGAAGTGCACATAGTGCAAAATAATGTTAGATGTTTGCCATCGCTTAATCCCTTAACCTGTTTTGTATTTTGTGTTTTTAGCTTTACTATAAGGTTGGCTAATCTTATCCACAAAGGGCCGGTGTGTATGCCGGTTTTTGCGATAACCTTTAGGTCAGCTGTTCAAACTCACGTGTGAGGACTCTTCAGCCAATCAGTCCTCTAATTAGTAATATATAGTACCAGTCAAAAGGATTTGGACACACCAACCCATAAAAGGTTTAATTGTACTATTCTCTTCATTTTAGAATAATTATAGAGACATCAAAAGTAAACATAAATGGAATTATGCACTGATCGAAAAATTATTTAAAAAAATATATTTATTTATTTATTTATATATTTGTTTTGGGGGCAGCTCTCTGGGTTTGGACTCAGAAGGTTGCTGGTTCAAATCCCTGGGTCAGCAGAGTGATCCCACCATTGGGCCCTTGAGCAAGGCCCTTTACCCCAGTTGCTCCAGAGACTGGCTGATCCTACTGTCTCCTCTGTGCGAGTTTCATGAGGTGGCCTCCTGAGATGCTTTTCCAACTGTCCTGACGGAAATCCCACAAAATATGTGTGTCCACATTTCCTTCACTCTTTGGTCAAACTCCTCCAACACCATTTCTACTGGGTTTATATCAGGTGTCCAGGTCATGTGACGTGATTCTCACTCTCCTTTGTAGGTGGCTTGGCATGTCCAAACTTTTGACTGGCACTGTAATTAGGGAGTTGCAGTGAAAACCCACATACACAGCAGCCCCTTCTGGATAAGATTGGCTACTGTATGTGAAGGATCTGCTGATGCAGTAAATGTTGATCCTGCTTGTCAGAATAGTTTAATCTGTAAGGTCACATCCTGGGTCGAAAGCAGTACGACCTCTCACATTTGATTTTATCATTGATTTAGTAACGACGCTACAAACTGTAAACTGATGGACAGTAAGTCCAGGCATCGTCCCAGGTAGTTACTGGAATGCAGTATTGGCAAATGGGATTGAGTCCACATTTGGAGATGGCAGAAACCCACTAAAACCCTTGTGTATGACCTCTAGGAGTATCTGGACCGGAGGAAAATGACAGAATTCGGGAGCCTGGCACTACTGGATGAAGGGGTTGGGGACGGCGAGACGATGGCTGTCAGCCTTCCGGGTGTCCGGAAAGGTGCTCAAGGGGCAATCTGTGGTATTGGGGATGTCTGTCTAGCACAGAGTCATAGTTTTATAAAAATGGCATCTAGTTGAGATGTTTTAAACACTTTGTCATTCCATTAAGCATTTGTCCATGGGTAATTGTTGTAATATGATGTAATTGCACTGATGGGAGAGGTTTGGCCTTACTGACCCTGTGCATTGTTTGTGCTACAATGTCATTCTGCATTTGGGATGTGACTCTGCTTTTGTGACATTACTGTGATGCCTGATAGGCCATGTCCTTACACAGTGAAGCAAAAAGTTGCTTGGTCTCTGAAATCCTGAGCCCAGTGTGTGTCTTCTGCAGGAGACATGAGCTCTCGGCATTTCAAGCCAGAGATCCGAGTCAGTTCCCTGCACTTCTCCCCTACGGGTAAGTGTCACGTAAACTCACCAGTTATACAAATTTAATTTGTTTGCTTGTTTACCCTTTAACCCATTCATCATCTACACCTACACACCTTATAGGTGATAAATATGAGAAGCACGTTGCTTTTGTTTCGTCACATTATTTATCAATTGTGAAATTTGTGTTTATAGCATTTGGCTGATATTCTGCAATTCAGTACCATTCAGACAGTACAGAGGTTTTCATTCATAAAATGAAATTTGTGTTTTCTTGTAAGTGCAACAGTCAGTATGTACTGTTTTAATCTCTGAATCATTTGGTTCATTACTGTAGTATTCTGCGATTCATAGTTTGTTTGGATAGAATGCCATTCAGATTCAATTTAGTCTGTTCAACATAATCATGGTCAATAAGCCACAGCTCAGTCTTGTCAGATCACTTAGGAGCTTAGCTACAACCCTGGCAAACCGTCTGTCTGATTCAACCCTCAGGCCGCAGCTGGGCAGCTACCTCCACCGAGGGCCTACTGATCTACTCTCTGGATGGGGGGTTGGTGTTTGACCCGTTTGACCTGGACTTGGACGTGACTCCCACCAGTGTTCGGCGTCAGCTCCACCAGGCAGCGTGGGCAGTGGCCATTGTACTAGCCTTCCGCCTAAATGAGAGAGCCCTCACCCGGGAAGTGCTAGAAGCTGTGCCGTATGACCAAGGTGAGAACTCACTGTGTGGGTCCTGTGTAGGTGATCACTATGGGTCCTGTGAGGGCGTCTACCGGGTGAGCGCTATGGGTCCTGTGAGGGCGTCCCCAGGTGAGCTCTATGGGTCCTGTGAGGGTGCCCCCGGGTGAGCTCTATGGGTACTGTGAGGGCGTCCCCGGGTGAGCTCTATGGGTACTGTGAGGGCGTCCCCGGGTGAGCTCTATGGGTACTGTGAGGGCGTCC